TCTCTCAAGCTCTCTTGCCCAAACCAGTTCACATACTTTCCCTACCATCCATACAAACTGTCCAAGGCATTAGAAGCAGACTGTAACACTCCTAACCATCATCACCATTTTCATTTTTCCATTTTTGCAGTTGAAGTTCTACATCTCAGTTCAAGGTGTCTCAAGGCAAAGTAGATATTGGAACAACATCACCACACCTCAAGGAAGCTATACCAACCAGTATCTTGCACTGTAAGCTCCCCATTTGCCAGTTAGAACTTCAACTGAACAGGTACTTTGGTGAACTTCTATCTCTCTCCTTAGGCATCATTAGCTCTAAGTTTGTGAATAAACAATGCTCTACTCATACCACTGAACATGTACATGCTTTTACTTTTCATTTCTTTTGCTTGAGCTGTGAGAATTTAAGGTTTGAAAATGGCAGAAAACTTAGGTTAGGATTTGGGATTGTTAAAATTCTCTCTCATTTCTGAGAGTTAGGAGATGTTCTTTATATATTTGGAATCGTGGTTTCATGCTTAACATGTTTTGTGTTGGAAGTTTGTTCAAAAAATCAAAGAATCAGGATATTCAAATGGAGCTTCTTGCGCGCGTTTTCTGAATAATTTTTGTTCAGAGGTTGAAGAAAGGTGGCTTTGGGCTGGGCTTGCTTTGTGTTTTCTTTTCACACCACTCAATTGGTTTCACACCCCCCTGAGCCCATTGGCTTGATTTAATGATTTTTTGACATTTCTTTTTTATTTCTGATTCATTTATTTTTTCTAATAATATTTAAAACTTGAAAAATCATTTTTACACCATTTTTGCATTTCTTAAGTATTTATTTGATTATATGGACATTTATATACAAACATATATATATCTTATTATTTAGAAATATTATTAATAATGTAAATATATTATATTTCTGATTTTTTGCATTTTTATTTTTTCCTTTTGAAATATTTGTACAAAAAAATACTTTTTTTTATATATATATAAAATTAAATATTATTATTTTTGGCATATTTAATATATTTTGTAAATAATATAAATATATAAGTCTATATTAATATACTTAGGATAAAAATGCCAAAAATGTACATATTTTATTTTTTAATATTTAATGCTAAAAATACCTTTTTTACAAATGTACTTCTTTTTATTTTACTTTTTGTGTATAAATGACAAGCATTATATATTAACCAATAAATACCTTTTATTTAATAAATTAGGGTTTTTAACCCTAAACATGAAAAATTCTCAAAAAAATAATACTTTTCTTTTATTTATTTTGACACATAAAAATACTTTTTTTTCATACATACAAAAACCATTTTTGCATCTTGCATATTTATTCTTATTTTATTTAATTTGTGCAATTAATCATCTTGTAAAATATTTCAATATTGATGTAATAGTTTTAGGTTTACATTACTTGTCAAAATCCCCATTTGAACATTTGTACCCCCTTCCCATATTTGGTTTTGTAATAGCTTAGTAAATTTATTTTCGCGCTTTATTGCTTTCTAATTATGCCATGTTAGAATTAGGGTTTGTATGCGAAAAAACGACAAAATAGTTATGACCTAATCTCAAGACAAACAAGCATGAAAATGAACACACAAATCACACTTGCACCCCTAGGGTATTCCACTTTGTTGCCTTCAAATAATTGGACCATATTGCATGTCAAGTCTCTTTGGGCAAAACAAACAAACCAAATGATCATAGTCCCTCGATAACATTTTCAAAATACTTCCAAAACAAATGATCAAGTCCCTTAAAGAAAATGCCCAAAGATACTTGGCACCATTGCAATTATGGTCTAAACGATGACCCGCGCCTGTCCCCTTCACATCCTAAACATGAGATTGTCCACAAAATGCAATGGTGGAACAAACTTATTAAAAAGGGTTTAAAACATAGCAATAAACTTTTGAGAAATTTAGGAGTAGACAACCCCTTAGTTACTTGAATCCAACTTGCAAAACAAAACACTTGCCTATTTTAAAAACCACACATCACTACACTTTCAAAACAACTTTCAAAAACAAATGAAAACCTTTTCAAAAGACATACATCTTTGTATACATCCCCACATGGATCATTACAAAGGTTGCCACCACATTGGCTTCTTTTCAAAATATTTTCAAACCCCCCCACACACAAGCACCATTTAAAACAATTGAAAACAAAAGGCAAGTGATCTAAGCAAGTAACTAAGAGCCCATGGATAACCATGGATAGAAAGGGTGCTAATACCTTCCCTTTCTATAATCTACTCCCCGAACCCAAGAAAACATCTCAAAGGTTTTTGCTGTGCTTTTTAACCTTTCCTTAGGATAAAATAAAAAGTCGGTGGCGACTCTTGCTCAACCGAAACATTTGCGAAAACAAACGCAAAACCTCAAGTCAGTTCTCCCACCGTATCACAGCTGGGAATTCTGTTTGTAGGTTGTTAGTAGTTTGTTAGGATTTGTTAGAAAATTCAGTTAGGAAAAGGTTAGTTATGGATTGGTTGTTTTGAAATTATGAATTTCTGTTTTGGCAGTTTGTTAAGTTTGTTATGTGCAGGGCTTTCTGTTGCAAATATGCTATGGGTTGGTTATGGATTTTGTTAGCAATTAGGAAGTTAGAAGTTTGTTAGAATTTGTTAGAAAATTTTGGTTAGAAGTTTGTTATGGGTACAAGTTAATTATGAATTGTTAACTGTGTATTGATTTTTGCTTTTTAATCTTTCTATGCAGGGCTGAACTGGTTGCTTTGGTAGGAAGTGTGAAAAAGGTTGTAAGAATGGGAAGCATTAGAGAAGCAGAAGAAACTACAAAAACAATCTGCATGTAGCTCTCTACACGGAATGATGAACGAGCCATCAACTTAGATGCAAGTGAGCTTCCCAACATCAAAATTCTGTACTGAGGAGGATGTTTGGTGATGCAGCTCGCAATGTAAGTTAAGCAGTAAGTCACACAAGCCCTCTTCCGGCCCTGTTTATCAGCCAAAGATCCCACAATTATTCCAAACAACATTGAAGACCCAAAGCCAGCAATAACGAGTTGTCCAATATCCCCCTTTCCATATCCATGAGTACTATGAGAGAATAAATGAGAGGATAATTATTTTTGAAGGAATTGAAAGCGGAGGAAGTATGGATTCGATCCTTATTGTTTTTGCTAAGCTCGAGAACTGCAACAACAGCGGCTAATCCACCGAACACGGCGTAGAAGAACAACTCCAATTTCGCGATGCAGAGAAATTCCAGTACCAATAAAATTTTGGATCACAGTCTCTTTTTTTGCAGAGTGTGTGTGAATGATTAGTTGTGTGAAAGATAGATTTAGCGTAGCTTTGTGTAATTTTTTTTTGTATTTCGATCAATGATGTAATGTAAGACGGTGTAGTGAGTTATAATCTGGTATTGAATTTTTTGCAATAGATCTTGCAATGTGACTTGAAGGAAGTGAAATTATAACAGACTAGTGCTTTGGAAATGTAATGTTCTCTTTCTCAAACATAGATTTGAATTTTTCCTTCATTTGCTTTAATTTGAATGAATCTTCAAGCATCTAATATTTTCTCCAATTTTCAATCTTGAACCCTGCTTTCATAATTCTTGACTTTGTCCATAGTGCGCCTGTTCAATCGCCTATAGCATTTCTGTTCAGACTATTTCCAATTAAATTCAGCTCACACCAATTGTCACAGTTAGTACTAAAGAAATCAGTAAAGTCTTTCTCATCAACCAGCTTATGCCACACCTTTCTAGCAATGCCAAAATCTCTAAAGACATGAAGGGTAGACTCCTTCTCCTCCTGATGATAATCTTTACAATAGGGATCCTCAAGCCCCCTCACATTCATGTACTATTTAGTCTTAATCCCACCAAAAGGAATTGTAGCATCAAATACATCATAACAATTCACCCAAACTGTCCCAACTTTCAATGCTCTTGTCAAAGTATTAACAGTGTCTATGTTTTGCGTGAAGATCCCTGCTGCAAGACCAGACTTCGAATTGTTTGCTCTTTGAATTACATCTTCATTGTTCTTGAATTTTAATATGGTTTGTACTGGACCAAATATCTCTTCTTTTGCGATCGGCATGTCATCCTGAACGTTTGAGAAAACAGTAGGCTGAATATAGTAGCCCTTGCTGCCATGCCTTTCTCCGCCAGTTTCAAGAGTAGCCCCAGTGTCGACACCAGATCTGATATATCTCAATATTTTCTCAAATAGCTTTGAATCAATCTGAGGGCCTTGTTCTATTCCTGACTTGAATGGATCTCCAACAGAACGGTTCAAAGCGCGGATCTTAGCTTTCTCGACAAACTCGTCATACACACGTTCATGTACAAATGTACGAGACCCAGCACAGCAACATTGTCCTTGATTTGAAGAATAGGGCAAAGTGTGCTAGCTCAACAGCCTATTCTACGTCAGTATCTTCGCATACAATAAATGGAGATTTCCCGCCAAGCTCCAAAGTTACTTGTTTAAGATTTCTTTGAGCTGCAAATTGAAGAATAACTTTGCCGGTTGCAGTTGAACCAGTGAATGCAACCTTGTCAACATCCATGTGACTAGCAAGAACAGCACCTGCCGTTGGACCGAAGCCGGGCACTATATTCAACACGCTAGGAGGAAGTCCAGCCTCAAGAAATAGTCTTGATGTATACAACGCAGACAGTGGTGTCTGCTCGGCTGTTTTCATAACGACAGTGTTGCCACACGCCAACGCCGGACCGACCTTCCAAGCAAACATGAGAAAAGGGAAGTTCCATGGAATGATCTGACCAGAAACACCAATCGGTTCATGCAATGTCTGCACATGATAGGCTCCGTCAGCTGGAACTGTGAGACCATGAATCTTATCTGTCCAACCAGCATAGTACCGAATTAGGCGAACCAACATTGGAATTTCAACTTGACGAGATTGTTCATACGGCTTCCCATTATCCCAAGTCTTAAGTGTCACAATCTCATCGTTATGCTTCTCAATCAGATCAGCAGCACGCAACATTATCTTTTGCTTTCATAGGTTGTCATCTTAGGCCACGGGCCTATATCGAATGCTTTGCGTGCAGCTGCAACAGCCCTATCAATATCTTCAGAGTGACCCTCCGCAACATGGGCAATCACTTCCCCGGTCCTTGGATCCAATGTTGGAAATGTTTTCCCAGAAGCAGCATCAACAAACTTTCCATCAATTAAGAGCCCAATATGCTCTACTTGCACCAACGGTTTAATCGGCTGTTCATCAACAACAGCAGCTGTGCTATATTTAGCAAGTAATCCACCCCGATAACCGCCATTCCCACCTCGAGAGAACAAGGTAGAAGAAGATGCAGAAGAAATTGAGCGAGAAATGAGCCTAGAGATTTTGATGGAAGAAGCCATTGGATGTTTACTCTTAGCTTTTCACGAGCATATCCCAAATTAATAGATTCTTTAAACAACAAAATAGACTTTACAATGCAACTTGGGGAGTGTACCTCCTAGAGCACCCACTTGTATTAGGTGTGCAGTGACGACTTGAGACATGGATAGAATAATGTTCAAAATGTCTTCGAAATGAAACAAAGCATGATCATCTAATAGACATAAGGAAATGAACCCAAATCTTCAGACTTAACAAATAAAACCTTGCAACTTGATTTTGAGATGAAGAGAATAACCTCGTAGCTTGATGAGGAAGAAATCCACAACAACCATCAATCAAAACCCTAAATTCACAATTCAATGTACCAGAAGAATCAGTCTAGTTTGATAAACAACTCGAACCAGAAGAAAGCCCGAGCTTCACAACCAATGATTCTCTGAACCATGATTCGACAAAACATGAATTGGTTAATTAAAGAGTGGATGAATGCCATGTGAAAGTCATTAAGCCTGATCAAATGATAGGCACACTTATATGAGGAAACGTCTTGATTCGAAGACCATGTATGCTAAGTCAAGCCCTTGAGTTCTTGAAAAGAAAAACCTGTAACATATTGTTTATCAGAAGATAGTAGCCTTGTTGCTTGAGGGAGAAGAAGTCCAAAAATGAGAATGAATCAAAACCCTAATTCCACAACTTGCTGCCTGAATAAGCAATCATCTTTTATTGGGTACGAGAGCCTTAACCACTGTGAAACCCTAGTATCGCACAACCACTGAACTTTGAACCTTAGAGCTATATTGAATGAAATGTATGCCATGTTAGTGACCTAATGAAATAGATGCAGATGAATGCAAAAAGTCTAAGCCAAAATAAAAGAAATTAGGAGGGAAAATTTTGGGGTGCAACACATACATCTAGCAGTTAAATATTGCGGAAAGTAAACTAAGCTATTACAAGGCGTCGTGTATTTACATCGCCAAAAACCAACCCTTGAAAAGTAAATTGCGAGAAATTAAATGAAAACGATAAAAAGTCCTAATTAAAGCTATTACATCCTCGGAGCAATTACATAATTATGATAAAAAATAATATGCGCGGACAAAATTGAATCGTAGAAGTTCTTAGGGTTTTGACACTTTTTGAGAAAGAAAGAAGTTTTTGGTTATTTTGTATTAAATTAAATTACCTAAAACTAATTAATTAATAAAAAGAAATATTTTTGAGTTTTTATGTTTTTAAGGAAGTAAACAAAAAATAGTCAAAAGTTAGTAAAAACCCTAATTCTACATGGATTTTATTTATTATGAAAATAATTAAAGTTAACCTAATTAAAGAACTAAATTAATTGTGTTAGCATTTATTTACAAAAATAACTAATTAAGGGTGAAATTAATTTAAATAATAATAATAATAATAATAAATGTTATTTTTAGTTTTCTGATTTTATCATGAAAAAATTAATTGAGTTAATTAAGTAATAATAATAATAATAATTAATAGTAAAATAATTAAATGGAAAATATAAAAAGAGAAAAGAAATAATGAAACCAGGGGGTGATGGGCCAGGTTAGGAGGTGAGAAAGCAATTCTGAAGCCCAATTGTTTCCAGCCTCTTTGACTTTTTTGGATTGCCCACACGTGCATTGACCAGGAAGCATGGTAGTCTTCCACTCATGACCACTGGATTTGAGTTTGTGGCCACTTGGCGCCTGGATGTTTGAGGTACATGATGGACATCACCTGGGAAGCTGCATGTGAATACACACAAGAAAATAATAACAAGATTTTTGGGGGACCTGGGATTCGAACCCAGGTCCCAATGATTCCAAGCCAATGCCTTAACCACTCCACCATCACGCTTTAGTCATTAGTAAAATAACAGGCAATTAATATATAGATAAACCAAACAATATGCTGTACAAAAGAAAAACGCGCGTATTTATTCAAATGGTCCAATGATGTATCAACACATCATCATCGTCTTCCTTCGTTCTGCAAAAAACAAACATTAGATAGCGGGGGTTTTTAACCCCCACTAAACATGGTGACGAAAAATAGCGAATAGAGATGCAGTATATATAAATATTTCACGATGGTTGATTTGGATTCGTCTGGTTCTCAGGATTCCAACCATGTGCCTTAGTGGTCTCAATTTTTCTTGGCTTAGGAATCCCCAATTCAAAGCTTATGAACCCTAAAAATTCAACTATGGCATCTTTGGATTTATGGCGTTTCAGTTCAATTAAGTTATACCATTAGCTTTGTACAGTCCCTAGCAACACAAAACAATCATGAAAACATATTAAAGATGCATGAATCACGATATACGATTGTGAATAAAAGTTGCAAACCGTGACTCTGTATATGGTGATTCTTTGAGCTTTAAGGCCTGAATTTGATTGCCACACGTTCTGGGAACCTCCTGCAGTGGATTAGAATCAATAAAAACCTTTGAATCGTTCTAGAATGCCAAAGTCAGTTTTGAGTTTTCTTGGAAATTTTTCAATATGCTATGGCTTTTCTGCAGCTTCTCTCACGTGTATGGCATTAGGGTTTGCTTGCATATATATAGAGGAATGGAATTAGGTCAAGATCTTGAACAAAAATCCATTGAATTGATGATTTGATCTTTGATTGAAAATCAAATCTTTTTGCATTTTCATGATTGAACAAAGTTGCCAATTTTGGAGATTTTGCATCTTTGATTTGGTGCACGAAATTTCCAGCATATCTTGACCATATTTTCTTCACAAAAAGATTGAAAAACCAAATCTTTGTATTTTCCTACAATTTAAATTGATTAAATGAATTAATATCAATTAAAAATCCAATTAATTAATAAAAAATAAGAAAATAAATTCAATTAAGCTTGATGGGTCGTGCATAGTCCATGGATGAAGTTTCAAGAAGAGATTTGAGACCCATTAGCAAAAATAAGGTATTTTGAGCAAAGTTGACTTTTGCAAATTCATGAAAATTTCCCAACTTCTCCAATGCATATCTTGCTCAATTTTGATCATATGAACATGTTCTTGGACATTTTGGAAAGGTCTTGAAGTCCTCTAACCAATGCCTTTAGTCCCGTGTCATTTGGATTTACCAATCTCAAGTTATGGCCTTTGACTCAAAGTGCATTTTTGTTGACTTTTGAATTTGACCTATAATGTAGAAATTGATAACTTTTTGTGAGAGCATTTCTTGGACTTGGAGTGTGAAGATGGATTGTAGGAAATTGCATCCCCTTCAAAATGAGCATTGGATGGGATTTTTCTGATGAACCATGAAAAAATTATGCCCTGGTCAAGATACAGTTGGCTTTTCTGCTGTCCAAAAATAGTAACTTTTGTATCCTTGATGATTTTTGAGCCATCCTTGTGGAATCATGATCAAGACTTGATCAAATGATGATTGTGGACTCAAAATAAGATGTTGACCAAAAATTCTGACTTTTAACTGCAAAATGACCATTTTGCCCTTGCAGTTGACTGTAGGTCAAATAGAGCTTTTGACTGTGCAAAATGGCATTGTGAGTCTTGAAACTTGACATATAGATGCTTGAGAATGTATATAGGAACATGAGACTTGATTGAACCATTGAAAACCCCAAATTACTTAAAAGAACCAAAACCCTAATTTCAGCTGTCTTAGGAGGTGGTTTGAACTGTACAACTCTTGAGAAATCTTGAACAATTTGAAGATGATCCTTGACAAACCTTGAAGAATATGGGAGGGCAAATTTTGGGGTACAACAGTTGCCCCTGTTCAATCTTCTTAAACCTGAGGATGTAGATTGGCTTGCGTGCCTTTCGTGATCCGAAGGTGGAAGATGATTGAACACTAAAGTGCCCAGAAATTTGCACTCGCATAGCGTGGTATCAGTAATGTGATGTCGGGAATGGGCTTATAGATGCCATTTGGAGAGATGATGGATAGGAGGATGGGCTTATAGATGCCATCTGGAGAGGTGACAGAATCTTATCGGGGATGGGCTTATAGATGCCATCTGGAGATTGTTTGTTGCACTGTAACTTGGTAGGTTGAAAGGAGGAACCTGTGTAGGGTTGCCTGATGGTGAGTCCGTGTAAAACTGCATCTGAAAGAGAAGGAACCGAGGTAGAGTTGCCTCATGATGGTCAAGTAGATAGTTGTCCTGTCTGGTTTCAGGTATTAATCTACAATCAGTCGTCCACAGATATTTCCTGGCTAGTTACAGGTGTTGATCTGGAACTTGAAAAAGGCTGGCCGATGATATAGTTTTCTTGTCTGGCTTCAGGTATTAATCTCGGACCTGAGAAAGAAAGATAGTTTTCCTGGCTTGCTACAGGTATTAATCTTTAATCTCTTCAATGTAGATAACTTTCCTGTCTGGTTTCAGGTATAGATCAGTCGTCCACAGATATTTCCTGGCTAGTTACAGGTATTAATCCGGAACTTAAGAAGGCTGGCCGATGAGATAGTTTCCTGTCTGGTTTCAGGTATTAATCTCTGACCTGAGAAAGAAAGATGGTTTTCCAGTCTGGTTTCAGGTATTAATCTTCGATCTCTTCATGTAGATAACTTTCCTGTCTGGTTTCAGGTATAGATCTACAATCAGTCGTTCACAGATATTTCCTGGCTAGTTACAGGTGTTGATATGGAACTTAAGAAAGGTTAATGGTAGGTAGTTTTGTCTTCGTTGACAGGTTGTCTCTATTGACGGGATGATCATCAGAAAAATCTTTAGGAATCGATTTAACTGGTTTTGTCTCCATTGACATGCTTGGCTTCAGAAAAATCTTTAGGAATCGATTTAACCGGTCTTGTCTCCATTGACTGACTGGCCTCAGAAAATCTTTAGGAATCGATTTAACTGGTCTTGTCTCCATTGACGGCGTTCGCATCAGAAAAATCTTTAGGAATCGATTTAACTGGTTTTGTCTCCATTGACATGCTGAGCATCAGAAAAATCTTTAGGAATCGATTTAACCGACTTTGTCTCCATTGACTGGTTTTGCATCAGAAAAATCTTTAGGAA